AAATTCCATGATTATTTTAGTACCACTTTGGAGTTATCTACAGAGGAAACAACGTAGCTTGACTGAGATCTGGGAGCAGGGATAGGAATCAAAAAGCTCTCTGAATAACTCAAGGATGATGCAGGTGTCAGGGGAATGTTTAGGAAGTTGAAGGGAGGTACCACAGAAAACAATGTAAGCAGAATGTGAATCATGTCAGAAAAGACTTAATAGCTTGTGACTTGATTATGTGCAGTAGCAGTGGAAAAAATACACTAATCAATTGAATATTTCTAAATTATTTGGTCGAACTTATTAAACTGAACTGCAATTCAACTTCCCGCTATGACCTAGAATTAGCATGCTTCCATTTTTCATTGATAAATGCCTATATTGACATTTTTGTCTTGGTTTTTGCTTAGCCATGTCTTCTAATCCCGTATGTTTAAATGTAAAACAAAGCTTGAAGTAAACCATTTCTTACTGTCTTCTGTTTAGCTGCTTCCTTACTTGCCCATGTAGAGGTTTTATATTAATATGCTAAACTCATTTCAGGCAGCAGTGTAAGTCGTATTAGTAGTAATTTCAACTCATTGTTTTTGTAATATCTGCAGTCTTGCATAAAAACGCAGTTCACTGTTTTTTGGCAGTTACTTGTATACATACTAGGCTGCACAACACATTGTAGATTAGAAGACCCAAACAGATGCTTAGAGGTGATCAAAGTGATTCTTACAGTAATGAAGAAGGCAGAAGTAAAGGCAGAAGCTCTGAAACCTGTTCTGGAGCAAATGATTGAGTACAGGTGGGTATGGGTTCTGTGTTTTGCAACTGAGGGATATGAAGAAGTGGCCTGGCAATGGAGCAGTTCAAACTGGTTGTAGTGGAGGAGGTAACATAGCTTGAGGTATAGTTGCACTGAGGTCCTGCTTTCAAAAGGACTAGGGTGTAAGAACTCAGATTGTCTTTCATTGAAAGATAAAATTCTCTTAATATAGATCAAGGATTGCTTTTTTTTTGTAATGACTTTACCAAATTCATTAGTGTGTTTGGCTGAAACCCAGGCTTTTTGGTTTTGGCTGTTCTAGTACTAAAAGCTTTTCAGCATCAGTTGATAAACAGTCCTGCTATGAGAACAAGAGGTTTTGATTAAGCACTGTCCTTTGCTCTGAAGTTGAACATGTACTAATGTTCTCAGGGGCTTGGATTCCTTTGTAATTATGCTGTGACACAAAGCAAGATTATTTTGTAAATTTTCATGGCTAAGTGTATCTAGAACTTTTAAGGATATTCTAGTTGGTTTAAAACTAGTAAACAGCAGGACAGTAGTATCCCAATAAGACTGTGGATGACAGATTTGTCCTTTCTATAGGTGGCAAGTAAAAGGCAGCAATGAGTATATAGCTCCTGCTGCAATGTTTTTCTAGCCTATCTTAGGCTTTTATGTGGGGGGTAAAGGAAAGGAAGTACTTTTTTTTCACTTGGCCAGATACCATACCAAAAGGCATGCTTTTAATTTAAGTCAGGTTCACACCACTTGATAAGGCTCATCCAGACCATGCAAGCTGCAAGCTCAACTACTAGTTTGAGTGTTGGTATTCTCCCAATTGTTGGCCAAGTGTTGATTAATACACTAGAAATGGTCGATTGGTCTGTAACCAGTTGAAGTACAAGGAGAGTGTAGGTAAGAACACAAGGATCCCTTCTGCGAAAGGCTTAAGTCAACTGATGCTCTGAAATTGTGTAAACGTAGGTTGATGTTAATTGCAAATCACTTATGATTCAGTAGTCTTAATAGCACTATGGAAATACAGGATGAACTAAGGTAGACTGAAGGTCTTAATATTAGCCTTTTCAATCTCATATTTAATGGGACTGGAGTTGAGGTTAAAATGGGAAAAGGAGTGCTTTTTCAACCACTTACCTACTTCTAGAAGTGTTATGCATCACTTGAGAAGGCAGATGTATTCCAGAGGAGATATGGATACCTGCCTGCTGGCCATAGTTGGCAGAAGGTAATGAAGTAATGCAAGCTTTCAGACTCTTGGTCTTAACTGTTTTAAAACATCTATTTCCTGAATGGCCACCTAGTGGGAGTTTGCTGTGGAGAGGTAAAATCTTAGTACACTTAAATATGTAGAAATGCGCACATGCCCTAATGCACTAATACCAATATCTTGATATTAGTCTCTAAATCTATACCTAATAAGACCTATGTAACTTGAGTTGTTTTATAATATTCTAATAATAATGTTCTAATATTGTGTTTGAGTTTGCAGATGGAAGCTTATCTTCAAAATTTAATGAACAATAACATTGCAACTCTGAGTACCTTTAATGAGCAGCTGTAATAAAGATCTTAACACTTTCAAGATGGCTGTGTGCCAAGTTTTAAGGTTAATAAAATAAACTATGAAACGCCCTTATTCATGTGGAAGGCCATGCATTGTGTTCCTGCATATAGAATTTGGCAATAGGTCTGTCTAAGTTGTCACAGATTTAGCAAACTGAAAACATTATTGTTTTGGGAAGTTCAGCATGCTTATCTGAGTCTATGCTGTGACTAGGGTTTCTAGGAAAATACAGTGAACCTGTGGGAGCTGTAACTGAATGGGTTTGCCATCTGGGCTCACTTTTGTATGCCATTCCCTAACTGTCACAGAGAAAACATTGTGAGGGAGAAAACCTAGCAAAGTGGAGAATGATTTCCTGAACTAGCTTGTAGCCCAGAAAAAATGATAGGAGGTGTTCTTGTTGAGGACAACTTGGAGAACAAAGTCCCTGGCTTGAATGTTGTATTTGGTAGGCATAATAGAAACACTTTCCTGTGTTTTAAGATCTTAAGGAACAACCTTATTTCACTGAACCTACTTGATTCAGACCATTCATAGAAGAACTCAAGGAAATGAAGCCACCTTTGAAAGAAGGTGGCTGTTTCATCTAAAGATAAAGAAGAGAGGGAAATGGGGAAAATGGAATGTACAGATATCAGAAAATTACTTTCAGTTCTCTAAACTTACTGCTAAATTGTCTGAAATCTTCCTATTTAACATAAACTCAAACTTTCCATACTTTGACTATATTCAGGGACTAAATCACCTGGCTCTAAGCTATTTGCTTATTTTAATCTAGCCCTTAAAACCTGAAAAATATGAATGCACAAACCCAGCCTAACTACCGATATATGGCAGGCCTATGAAGTCTTCATTTACTCCTGGTAAACTTAGCTTAGTGTTTCATATGCCACCTTAGCTTAGCCAAGAAATTATGTTTATATTTTGTAATTAGGCAGTTCTGTCTGTATTTATGTGCAGAAGCTTATAAAAAAGCCTGCTATTGCTGATTTTAAGAATAGCAGTATCTGATTTAATGATAGTGGTCCTTAAAAATTATGACTATTATATTAGCCATCTTGCTGGCTAAATAGGCACAGCTGTTACCCTTTTTTTGGTTTCAAATTTCTTGAATAGGGTATGCACTCCAGAGGAAGATCATGGGGCAAATGACTCTGCTAGTACAGCTAAAGGGGTATGGAAACTCTTCCAGAACCTTCTACAGAAGAGAGGCTTTTTTCTGGCAGTTGTGATCATAGTAATCTCATCTTATTTAAATCGCTTGTGGATAGTGTTTTAGAATAATATTTAAGTAGCACTTGTCTAAATTTTCTTGAAGCTCAGGTATTTGTCCTACTACCTTAATATTTATAAACATCCTTTTTCTAGTCCATTCTCTTCACATAATTTCAAAGTTAAATTTCTAGGTGACTTAAGCCTTTGGGTCAAAATACTTTGTAAAGTTGATGATTTATCTAAGTCGAACCTTGAAAATTTCTCTGAAAAACTCAATACCAATGGGTAACTGAGAGGACCTGCAGGCAGAAGAAGAAAGTAGACCTGGTGTTTGGGCTTGGTTACCTGAGCTTTACATCACTCCCTCCAAGTAATTTGATTATTGAGTGTGTCTGAGCACGCTACAGAAGGGAGTTCCTGTTCAGGAAAGGAGAAATGTTCCTTGTAAGGTTGCCCCCTTTTGGAAGATGACCATACAGATATGGTGGCCAAGGGAAACAAACTCTTAATTTCCATTAATTAACACCAAATGCATGTGTATATAGGTTTCCTATATATATGTATGAATAAAAGGTTTCCTATTTAAGACAGCAGAATGTGTAATCTCTACCTGCTAAATGCTGTGTTCATTTAATGAAACATCTCATCTGTGTTCTTAATGACACTTTTGACTTATAGGTGGACTTCTGTATTGCACTACATCATGTGATGTACTTTAACACTTGATTCTCAGCTTAATGTATCTACCAAGTGAAGAGGTGGTTCTCATCCTAGATGATCAACTTTTTAAATGCTTCACATAAATCCTGCTTAACAGAGTAAATATTTTGTTTACTTCTTTCAAGTAGTAAGCACTTCTCTCAAGTATTTACCAAAAAGTTACTGGTTTGAGTGGGTTTGAGCTCTGAGGTGGTCCCAGATCATTAGTCCTTTATTGAAAGTTAAACAAGTCTTCATTTCTTGTATCAACTGCAAACACTCAGTTAAGTTGTAATAAATCTTTACTTCTAGATTGTGTGGGGAGTATTCTTCATCATTGTGGCACTGCTCTTCACTGTCTCTCTGTTCTTATCAAAGTAAGTACATTTCAGCATTTTTCTTAAACACTTAAACTAGATAGTTTCTGCTCTATAATCAAAATCAGGCATGGTTTGCTTCAAGAGTCAGCCCACTTTTCTATGCTACATTTCTGTAACTAGAGGTGTGTTTCTCATTGTAATAATATATATTGAAAATGAACAAAACGTGCTAAAACAGATTCAAAAAAGGACATGGTTCAGCTTGATTGACTGTGTGCTGCTGAAAACAGTTCTGATTGAGCAGAGAAACTAAGCATATACATTAAGAAAGTTCAATTCAGACTATGGAAGTATTGTGATTGCTTGAATGAATCTTAATGCATGTAGGTTTTTGGGCTGGGTAACAGGTGCTTAAATTCTTGCAGTAAATGACTTCTATAATCCATTATGATGTGCATTACACTGTAATTGTTCCATGGTGTTGAAAGAAATATAGCCAGCTGCAAATCTGGTGGATTTCAATGAAAATTGACACTAACCGGAGGTCTCAAATGTTGGCATTTTTAATTTTTCAGACTGGGCAAATAAGCTCTATAACCCAAACTAGGGAAAAGCTAAAATGCTAAGGAGATGCAGAAATCAATATACCTTTTAATAGGACAAGTGCAATGAGTGTGGTAAAACAAAGTGTGTGCCTAAATATCAAAAACCTGTCAGTCTCTGGACTTCAGAATTTTTTATGAGCTGCCCTTTTAAATTAAACTGAAGACAAAGCTCTGGGAGAACCATAGTGCTTACCTAATTTTTCTTAATTACTGCAGTTTGGACAAAGCTCTGCATTCGGCTGGCTTCGACTCAGGATTTATAATTTTAGGAACTAATCTGACCAATCCATTGAATATGCTGTTACCTGTTCTTCAAACAGTAAGTAAAAAATTGGTGATATACATCTGTAAGGATGCTCCTGTCTGTCTTCTAGTAAGCTGTCAAAAGGCAAACTATAGTCTCCCCAAGTAATTCATTAAAACAAAATTGTCTAGATCTGTGTTCTGTAAAAGAAAGGCAACTTCCTTGTTAACAATATTTCAGTTATTAAATACCGGTATGAAAATCTTGCGTGGTGGAAGGTGGTGCTTGAAATTAAGCGTCATCTGATGAGAACATAGTGGCAATGAAGAATGACATCACTTAGTTGTCATGCACAGAATAAAAGCAACTTCTCCCATGCCCTACCTATATTCTAGATGTTTGTATACTTTATAATTTACCTCCTTAAGTGTAGTACATGCACTTTTTCACTTTTTAATGTATTTATTGCATCTTGAAAAATACATTACACTCTCTGCAGTTATGTATGTTATAGTAATGCATTAGTCTTTGAAACAAACCCTACATAAAAACAAACGTCTGTTAACTTCAGTATGGTTGGAAGGCAACAAGGCCACATATGAATGTGGCAATCAGTCATGGGTAAGCTAAGAAAATGAAAAGCCTTAATGTAAGCTAATGCTTTATTCTCCCATAGTTGAGTTCTTTCCGTATTATTGGTATAATGGGTTGGCACAATGCTTTACTTGCCTATGGTTTCTAAAATGATTAAATACCCAAGCTTGCCTTCTAATGAGAGAAGTAGTGTTCAGCAGCTGTATTATCTCAAGCTGTTATTAATGTAAACATAAACAAGTTTGGTATGCAAATACGTTCAGAAATATTTGCAAATAGAATGTCTATACAGTCCTAAAATGATGGTTGTCACTGTGGACTTTCTTTTAAATGTGCTTTGAGATGGAATTAAGTATTTCTTGGCCTAAAAATGTGTAACACTTTAAAACTTGCCTTCATTTTGAATAATGAAAAATGTTCAGTTGCTTTCCCCAACTAATTCTACAAGCTCTATTAGCAGCAAGCTATATTAGCTGTATTTGGAGCCAGTTATGTAAAAAACCTTGAATGAAAGGAGTCTTACTACCTCAGATGCTATAAGTAGAAAGTACTTATTTAGCTTTAAGTGGGTGGAAAAGCTTGTTTTCAAATTTTGGTGTTTTCTTGTCTTTTTAACTGCTTGTGTTCTTGTTTTAGGTTTTTCCACTTGATTATATTCTTATTACAACTATTGTTATGTACTTTATCTTCACTTCAATGGCAGGGATTCGGAATATGGGTATATGGTTCTTCTGGATAAGGGTAAATATGACTTAAGTGTTTAGTTAACAATACTCAGTAAGATGTTTAACAAATGTGTGATATTGAATATATTTAATAAATAGTCATTATTTATGTACAGCTTCACAAATACTGGATGTTGCAAATAGCATTGTTTCTATGTCTAATGAGTGTTAGAAGCCTGTTGTACAATCTTCACTGCTTTCGAAAGGTGTTCCATTTTCTGAGGGTATCAGACCAAACTGATGTTACAGTTTGATAAGCAATACAGTCAGCTGAGTCTTTCAAGTGTTTAATCAGTGGCAGCTTGACTGAAGGACACAATATTCTTTGACAAACTGAGGGCACAGTTTGTTATCAGTGATAGGCAACACCATTTAAATCTTGCTATTATCTGCTGGTTTATAAATGTTCTGGTTAATCAATACAAAGAACAATTTATTTAGTTCAATAGTTGTGCTTTGAAATTCAGGTAAATATATCTGAAAATGTGCTTTGAGTCATTGGAATTAAGTTGCCAGAGGGTAGTTTTAGCAGCCTCCCACTTCTGTCAGTAGAATTAAAGCTGTTACTTGAATTAAATAGGATTTTAAAAAAAAAGTTAATATTCGTATATCTTCTGTTTTCAGCTTTATAAAATCAGACGAGGAAAAACTCGACCTCAAGCACTCTTGTTTCTCTGTATGATACTTCTGTTGATAGTTCTTCATACAAGTTACATGATCTACAGCCTTGCCCCTCAGTATGTAATGTATGGAAGCCAAAAATACCTGGTACAGGTGAGATGTAATACTTTTTTTTAAATTAAAAATCCTACCTTCTGCATGAAAAATGTACTGTGTACAGCAACTTTTAAAACCAGGCTAGCTCTCAGATTTGAAGACTTTTGTAGCCAAGTTTTTTAACTACTAGTAGGTGTCTTACAACCAGTTTTTGACTTCTGTATTACTATATGTAATACAATTTAATTCCTAGATGATGTTCAGACAATGTAAAACTTGGAATATTGCTTCACTTTAAGATAGCTGCTAGCTTCCACTAGATTTGGTACTGGTACGCTTAGGTTGCTAAATGACTGCAGTGAGGATTAGTTGTAGTGTGTAAGGCTGTCTGTCCATAGGCTGAAAGCAATGTTTTTGTTCCACAGTTGATAGATTTTTATATGTGTATTTGTGAGAAATGACAAAGATAACTTGGTACAGCAGAGGGTAATAATCAGAACGAAGCAAGTACATGCTGATTAATCACACTTCAGACACTTTGGACTGTCCAACTTGATGAAACTCATTGCAATTCTCATTCTATAAAATTTTCTACGGAATTAAGTAGTTAAAGTTAGCCTCTGCTTTTGTTGTTGTACATTTTTGTACTTCGAGGTTTTGGTTTTTTAGTCTTGCATCTTCTGTACCTGAAGGCTTTTATTCTTGTATTTCACCTTGGTTTGAGTGGAGGCCTGCATATTTATGGGGAAGTTTGAAGTTGCACATAAGCATCTTGAGGGGGTATTATGGACAGCTGTTTACCAAGGTCTGGTATCCTACAGGGGCAGGCTTTGTTAGATCTGATCTTGTAAATGTAGACAACTAACAGGTCATGAACTTGTTATTCATATTCAGGCACAGTGAAGTCCAGATTTCTTTGTGTGCTGTTTGGGAATTTAAGAAAAAGAAAACAATTAAGGCAGAATGGTTCAGAGAAGGGATTTAAATGAGATTGAAGTAACTGGGTGCTGCTTTGAGCATTTGGAATACTACTTTCAGCTTTGCAGAAGGCTGTGCCTCTGGGAAGAGAGCATACTGCTTTAAAAAAAAACAATTACCTGCCAAGGTTCTTCAGCTGAAAATATTTATTAAAATGTGTAACTTACCACTATCAATTCTTTCAGTTTAAACAGAGTAGATGCAGAATGCTTTGAGCAAAAGGACTAGAAGGAGAAGCTGAAGTTGAAGTAGTGTTAAATATGCTAGAGGAGAAGAACCTGATCAACTTAAATGTGCTGAGTGGATGTGGTATTGTCACTGCTGGAAGTAAAGCATTCAATAAATGCTTCTTCTCCACTGTCTTTAGATATAAATAGTGTCTGGTAATGGGAGGCTGGTCACCCTGATATCAATCCAAGCACAATAATAGAATCACTGTAGGGAACTTAAATATTTGGTATTTAGTAAGCTTAATGAATTTTTATTGGATTTTATGCTGGAAATAACTACCACAAAATAAATATGCTTAAGCATCTATAAATTGGCTCAATGTGTCAGAATTATGGTAGTAGCAGCAAGAAACAGCTGAAAATTAGTTGAGGCAAGCAGTTTGCTTCTATGGTGAGTTTATATAGAACTCCTAGAGTGATTACTGTGTAGGTAGCCTAGAGCATCACATAGCTATGTCTGAATTAGTTATGAGCTCAAGTTCCTGCAAAAGGATGTTTGAGGGTTATTTTTTTCATATTGTAGACTGATTCTGTGTGTCTAATTACAGTGCAGAACCACTGTGGGTGGAAGGGTGGGAAGGACAATTTCATTAAGCATCCTACCAAGCTAGCCTTTAAGCCTTTCAGTGACTTGAGTAAAGAATCCCTCATGACAAAGCTTGCAGATAACATGGAAGATTGACAAAAAGTAAATAAAGACTGTAGCTAGCACTTCTTGCTTTATGATTAAAAAGGCATTGTTTCGGTAAAATAAAATGTGTGTATACTGAGGGTGGCAGAAGGGTTGGGACTAAACAGCTAACATGCAAGTGTTTGTCATGACAAATATTATCTCAACATAGATATATAGTTTGTTATGAAAAGGGTCAATAGAATGGAGTACAGCAGTAGAGAGGCTCCTATGTCATTCAAACAGCTATTGAAATACAATCCTGGATAGCACTGTAAGAAGTATTAGCTGGAATGGTTGAGTAGAGTTACAACTCTTCATTTGAAGGAATAAAAAAATGTTGTGGTCAAGATAGCCTTCTTGGGTCTTTAGTTTCTTATGTCACATTTCAAAGAGCTGTATTTAAAAGTGCGTTAAAGTAACTTGGGTAGAAAGGTTTTATTGTTAAATAACATGAAGCATAAAGAGTATGCTAGTAAATTACAGCTGGACTTCTCTGGCATACCAAGTAAATATAAGGTTTTCAGACAACATCTTCTCTCGTAATCTTGGAGACCGTACCAGACACATTTTCTGTGTCTGACTATCCTGGTAACTGAATGTTAAATTCTTGTGTTTTGAAATGAGGAGAGATGGTGGCTGGGAATGAAAAATGACATATTTTTCTGTGGATATTGGGAATGAGGAGGTTCTTAAGAGTTATGAATTGGTTATTACGGAACTGAGGACTGGCCAGGAACATGCACAGGAACTCAGCAATGAAATACATTTTGTGCATATGGCAAGCTTCCTGATGATAGAAGCTGTATGCACCACTTTACTTGGGCTGCTTACACACACCACAGTCAATTTAATGATTTAAAGTAACACCACTGGTAAACAAAACTGTACAGAACTAAGCAATAAATAAGCAATATTCCAAGTCAGTTTAGTGGATGAGTGGGCTGATAAACATGTATGTCAAAATCTGGTGGCTCGTAGAAAGACTGTGTAAAAGGAGCACTTCCCCCTCTTCTTTGCTCTGCAATGATTCCCAATCTAGTAACCTGTCAAACTGATTGGTATCCTAAATGTATAGCGATGCATTAGACAGGTTAGAATCCTGTTTGAATCTTGAACTGTTTCCTTTGGAGATGCTTACTTTCGATAAGACCTTGTAACTTTGAAGTGCAGTTGACTTTTCCTGATAATTGATATGCATGGAAGAATGGAGGTCTTGTGAGGTTTAACTTGAGGTTTAACTTTAACTTACTTGCTTTAACTCTTTTGACCATTGGGATGTTCAAAGCATGTGTCCCCAATTAATTGAAAGTGTTTTCAGCTATGATGTATGTAGGGAACCTCTGAAAGTTTCTTTTGGATAAAGTGCTTTTACTAACTGAGGCCCTGTGTAGGGCTTTGATCCACTTGCATAACTCTTCAAACACTGAGGAATGCTGGGTTTCATCTCTCAAGACAGCCTTTGTAACATCTGCTAAACAGCCATGAGTCTCTCTATAGCCTTTCACAAAGGGAAGGAGTTCTGTCCACATCCAGGCTGCCTTCTCAGCTTTGTAGCAAAAACGTAACTTTGCCCGTACATGTTACAACTTATTTCTTCTCTGTGTGAGTTAGCTTTGTGTAAGACTACTTTTGCTTTGTTTAACACTCATGTAGTTTGCTTTGTTTAATACTACTTACATATTTAAGAATCTTAAATTTGGATGTTAGAAATTCTAGCTACATAAAAATGAAAATGGTGTTCAACTGATAGACTTAGTGAGATTACCATTCCTCTTAGCATGGCAAATGTGATTTTTAATTTTTATTAGGAAGAGTTAATACTGTGAAATGCTTCACTTTATATCTCTGTTTTGGAATAGCTGTTTCATTTTTTTCCAAGTCTGTTTTGTGAAAAGGTAGAAAACTTTCAGTGGACCTTTACAAGATTTCTGCCGTGTGTAGGAGAGAAGAAAGGATTGCTAGGGAA